TAAGGTTCACACATGCAAGGCAAGTGCTCTGCCACTGAGCTGTAGCCCCAGACTCCCTGCCCTTTTTTAATTTTTCATTTTGATACAGGGTCTTGCTGGGTTGCTGAGACTGGCTTTGAACTTGCTATCCTCCTACCTCAGCCTCCCAAGCCACTGGATTACAGATGTGTGCCACTGTGCCTGGCTTGTAGTGTTTTTTAATGATTTTCTGGTTTAATCGAGTTGTTTGAGTAACTGGTTAAGTACTGGTACTGGTTGATTGAGAATTTTTACTCTTTATGAATGTGAGGAGTTTGGGGAGCCAGTGAAGACCACTAGTACTTAAAGATGATTCTTGCAGGAATCTCTAGGAAGAGTAAATTGGGGTTCTGAACGAGGGAATAATTAATGAAATGTATCTCTATTAATGTGCATGTTACAAACTGTTTGGCTAAACTATGTTGTTATTTTGTGTTTATCTAGGAGCTTTTGAAGGAATACTCAGAGGAAAAGAAATTAATATTTAATGAATATTTTCTCTGTATCAAACATTTTGCTAGGTCTCTACATGCATTATCTCATATAATGCTCCCAGCAATCCTGCTTTTCAGAGGAGAAAGTAGATTTAAATAACAGGTTAAATAACTTTCTCAAGGTAATTTAGCTAATGAGTGGGAAAAGAGAATGCCTTACTTTACTGGTGGAATCTCCATTAAAATTCCTGATGTTCTTTAACAAAGTTGGAAGACATTTAATTACTGAGTAATAAAATATCCTTTGAATTGAAWAAGGCTAAATGAACTGTGATTCTCCTTTACTAGTAGAAAAAAATCATCACATTTTGGCAGAATGCATACTCTAGACTTTTTCTTTTTCTGAAATCTTGTTTTTTGTTTGTTTGATGTAGTTTGGGAACTATCAGATCTTTATCTAGAATGCACTGTTGTAAAAAAAGTTCAATATAGCAGAGCTATGGTGAGGAACAAAAGAGGGTGCTGAACTTAAAACATGATTTGCTTTTTTGATGAATCAAACCCTTAAGTGTATTTATTTAGCATTTTAACGTTTTTATAATCGTAACAACATTTTACTTCAAAAGTTTTAGGTAAATTAAACAATAATTTATCCCAATAAAATATATGAGATGTTCCTTAATTTATGATGGGATCTTATTTCAAAAAACCCATGGTAAATTGAAAGTATTATAAATTAAAAGTGTGCATTTAATACACTTAAACTACTAAATATCAGGGTTGGGGATGCAGCTCAGTAGTGGGTCACACATGCCAGACCCTGGTTTAATCCTCAGCACCACAAAACAAAACAACAACAACAAAAAAAACCAATGACCAACCATTGTATCTTAGTCTAGCTTACCTTAAATGTGTTCAGAACACTTATATTAGCCTGTAATTGGGCAAAATTATCTAACAAAAAGCCTATTTTATGGTAAAATGTTGGATATCTCATGTAATATATTGAATGCTGTACTGAAAGTGAAAAGCAGAGTGGCTGTATGGATATACACTCACATCATCCCACAGTGAAAAGATTGTAAATCAAGATTAAAAACAATGGAATATTCTAAGTTTGGAGACTGGCTGTATTTCCTTCATGCCTTGAGTATTGAAATATAATGAAAATTAGATTAGTGAGTAAGCAAAAACCTCTCCCTAAGTTTCTTTTCCCCTGTTGAGTTTCATTTCTTTAACATTGTGATTTGAAAAGAAAAAAATTATGTAATACATGAATACTTCCCATTAAAAAGCATTTGAACACTCAGAAATATAATTTGGAAATTCTTATTTCTTTCTCACTACATATACTATATTCCTTATACTGTATCAGTCCTTTCTTCAGGGAGAATTGCTGTTTTTTCTTTGGCTTGTGTTCGTATACCCTCCCTCTTCTCATTTATTTATTTATTTAGTGCCAGGAATTGAACCCAGGGGCACTCAGCCCCTGAGCCACATCTCCAATTCTTTTTATTTTTTATTTTGAGACAGGGTCACGCTGATCTGCTTAGGGACTTACTAAGGTCCGAGGCTGACTTGAACTCAAGATCTTCCTGATTTAGCCTCCTAAGCCGCTAGGATTACAGGCTTGCACCACTTCAAGCCCTTCCTCTTCTTTAAAAAAATTTACTTTTATATGCATATCACCTTTTTAGAAAGAGATGTAATTAAACTTTACTTATTTTTCTGCTTGTTTTATCCCCTTTTCTGTCATTTATATCTTACTATGACAGTATATATAGTCAACTCCATTTTTTAGTGGGGATGCATATGATTTATTTAATTACTTTCTTTTTGAATGACTTTTTAAGTTTTTATATTTTGGGGGAGGACAATTTCTGTGGAAGTACTTCTCTAAGTTAAATTCTTGGAATTGGACCTGGAATTATATAATTTGATTAGAATAATGTTATTGCCATTTGAATTTTTAATTTCCAATATTTTGGATTTTAAAATAATACATTAAAAATAGGTAATACATATTTATGGTTCATAATTCAAAAGATAAAAAATGGGTCAACTTTCATTTTTACTGCCTTTACTTTAACCAACCCATTAATCTCTTATGTCATCGTTAAATTTTCTTATAAGTCCTTCTAGAAATAATCTATATACTTTAATGTTTTTCATTTTTCTCTCCCCAAAGAATGCTATATGCACCATTCTGCAGTATAAAGTTTTTGTTTGTTTGTTGTTTGTTTATTGAACTGAGGGCTTTTGGCATGCTAGAGAAGCAGCCTACCATTGAGCTAGCTACATCCCCAGTTCTATTTTATTTTGACCTCTGTTTCTTATCAGTGTGTAGGGAGCTGTTTTATTCTTCTATTTAGTACTTCATTTTGTGGCCAGGCTGTGGTTAACTCAGTCATTTCCAAATTAATRAATATTTAGATTGTTTCCAATATTTTGCTACTATAATGCTGATATGTATTATGCACCTCTTAAGCTCCCAAGAAATAGAATTGGGAGCTTAAAAGACATGGATTTTAAAATTTTGGTATATGTTAAATGGTTCTCTGTACAGACTTCTAAATTATACTTGCATCAGAAAATTATGAGAGAGCCTCATCAACATTGTTTTCAAACCATTTGATCTTTGCCAGCCTAAATAAAAATGTTTTAATTTCCATATCTCTACAATGATGTTGGTTATCTTATTTGTGGCAGGAGGTTCGAATTGGGGGTGGTTCCTGGGAACTGAACCCAGGGGCACTTTACCACTGAGCTACATCCCTAGCCCTCAATTCTTTTTGTTTTTTATTTTGGAGACAGGGCCTGACTAGGTTGCCCAGACTGGTCTCAAATTTGTGATCCTCTTGCCCTAGCCTCAATATGCTGGGAATATAGGTTGAGCCACCACAACCTGCTCTTATTTGTCTTTGGCTTCATGATTTTTTTTTTTTTTTTTTGGTGGTGCTGGGGATTGAATCTAGGGCCTTGTGCATGTGAGGCAAGTACTCTACCAAATGAACTATATCCCTGGCCCTGGCTTCATGATATTCTTTACTATGCAAGAAACTGCTATTTTTATGTGCTCTTTTTAATTCTTTTATACCCCTAATTAAACTGCTTATGTGCCAAATGGTTTATATCATGATAATTCAAACTAAATGATAAAATAATAAAAATATTCAGAGAAGAAAAATAATTGGAGTTTTAGATATTTTGCTTTTGGAAATTTTTTGGACCAATTAATATCAGCAATTATAATTTTTACCTGATTGAACCAGCATTTACAAAGCATATACACTGTACCAAACTGCTGTGACCAAAGTGAATAATCCTTAGTGTATTTTGAGATTAGGAAAAATAATTGATGATAACTGAAGGAATCAGGGAAAGAGTTTGAAGAGATCAAATGTTGAAAAGGGAGGCAAGTGAAGAAGTAATTGTCTGTTTTGCTCTTCAGCTTCTTGACCACTTCCAAATCTGGTCTGAGGTTTCACAATCACCATTCTTTTTTTTTTTTTTTTCAAGAGAGAGAGAGAAAATTTTAATATTTATTTTTAGTTTTCTGTGGACACAACATCTTTGTATGTGGTGCTGAGGATTGAACCTGGGCTGCACGCATGCCAAGCGAGCGCGCTGCCGCTTGAGCCACATCCCCAGCCCAATCACCATTCTTTGTTGGAAACAAATCCCAGGGATTTTAGCTTACTTTTATTCCTTCTTTATTTCCTTATTTACTTATTTTTGGGTCTTTGGGTTTCAGTGCTTGCCAAGATTGTCTATGAAATAAGATAAGTCTCCTTACTCAACCCCTTTCATTGTCCCTGAAGATAGGAACATAAAACATAATAGTTTATTGCCTATAATACTGTGTGAGTACAGATAAGGGGTTAAGAAAATAACAAATATGAGTAAGTTAGAAAATACAAAGAAATATTACTAAATTTTTCTAATAATGGGCTGTGCTTCTGGATTCCCTTGCTGAGAAAAGAGGATAGTGAGCTGGTCTTTACCTCTTGATTTTATTTTAGCATGTCATCTCTCCTTAAGATTTTTCTCCTGTTTGGGGGTGAGGACCTTATTTATGCAAAGAAACTGCTTTACTACTGAGCAGTCAGTCTAGGACTTTCCTCTTTCTTTTCTTTTTCTTTCTTTTTTTTTTTTTTTTTTTTTTGTGGTGCTGGGAATTGAACACAAGCTCTTGTGCATGCATGCACAATCACAACTGAGCTAATTCTCCAGCCTAGGACTGTCCTCTTTCATCTGAGCATGTTTAGTGATCGTACTAACCCCTTCCTCCATGCCAATAAAATGATCTATGATTTATGTTTTAAATTTTCCTGTGCAGCTAGCTGGTCAAGCAGAGCAATGGAAATTAGGTGAATCTGCAAGCACCTTGTCAGAGCATACCTTTTTCCTCTTGGCTTAGGGGATAGTTGGCTTTTTTCCCCTCCATGCTTAATTTTTCTCCCCTTGCTTGGCTGACATTAACATTTACTTTTTTCCACATTTCTGATGTCTATTCACATTTCTGAATGGTTTCTTATTTGTATTTAGGTAAAATTTGGTAATACCACCTTTAAAACAGATGTATACCTCAAGTCACTCAATCCACAGTGGAACTCAGAATGGTTTAAGTTTGAGGTAAGTACTTAAATGCCCATGTTTTTTGAGTATATATTTTTTTAAGTGACTCTTTTCCTTTAGGAATGATAARAGTATCTTTCATTTCAGGCATAGTAGATTTTCTACAGTGTAAGAATATTTCTATTTCTGCCTCACTAGGAACACTGAGTTTTTAAAAAAGTTTTTAAAAAAACACTGAGTTTTTACCTTAAGAAAATATAGTATATGGTAATGCAGATGGAAAAAAAAAAGCCTTAAAGTGCATTATTTTATTATTATTATTATTATTATTTTTGGATTTTAGCATATACAAAGAAGTACTTATGAACAACATACACAATATTTTTTTTGTGCCATTTTAGCCATTTTAAAGTATACAATTCAGTAGCGTTAATTACGTGCCCAGTATTGTACAACCACCACCACTATTTCCAAAATACTTTTATACCCTGAATAGGAATTCTGTGCCTACTAAGCAGTAACTCGCTAGTTCCTTTTCCTCAGACTTTAGTAACTTATCTATATTCTTTTTGAATTAGCTTATGTTAGACTCTTCATTTAAGTGGAATCATAATATTTGTCCCTTTTTATTTGTTTTTTTCATTTCCTTATGTTTTCAAGGATCATTCACATTGTGGCAGATAGCAGAATCTTATTTTTTTAAAGCTAATATTTCACTGTATTTGTGAATTTTGTTTATTATTTTTTTTGCAGTGCTGGGGATTGAACCCAGGACCTTCTGTATACCAAGTGCTACTGTACCCCTGAGCTACATCCCCAGCCCTTTTAAAATTTTTTATTTTGAGACAGAATCTCATTAAGTTGTATAGGCTGGCCTTGAACTTGGTGTCCTCTTGCCTTAGCCTCTCAGGTCACTGGAATTACAGGTGTATGCCATGATACCACTGCCCCCTCCCCCAGTTTATTTTTTTAATGGAGTTATTTATATTTTTGTTGTTGATATGTAGAAGTTCACTATATTAAATATCAACTCCTTATCAGGTAAATAACTTGTGAATTTTTTCTCCCATTTAATAGGTTGTCTTTTTACTTTATTGACACTACCATTTGTATAAAAGTTTTTTATTTTGATGAAATTTGAGGTACTTTTTGTTGTTGTTGCTGGTGCTTCCCTGATCCATTCCCTATGTTTTTTCCTGAGAGTTTTATGGTTTCAGCTCTTATACATAGGTTGTTGATCCATTTTGAGTTCATTTTTATAATAGCTTGAGGTAAGAGGCCAACTTTATTCTTTTATACAAAGAAGTCCAGTTGTTTCAACATCATTTGTTGAAGAAACTGTTCTTTTCCCGTCCTTCTCAGAAATCAATTTAAAGGGCGCATGTGAGGTACAGACCACACTTATTGGTAGAGTGGCTGTGAGTTGGTGAGGGGTAACTTGGCTATCCCAACTGTATACCAAAAGGATGCAGTTGTAGAAACTATTATTCCTAATCTCCCAATGGCTTTTATCCAAAGGTTTCCAGCCAGATGGATCTTTCTAAGGAAGAAAATTTCTAGTTCCCATTAACTCCAACTCTTTTAAAAATGGAGTTCCATATTGTTTGGATAAATTGGTTTGGAAGTCAGTAAATTATTGTAAACTATTTTCAACTTTACCTTTGTGATAAGTTAAAACAAATTAGTTGTACATAGAAGTATGGGAGCTATTCCATTGATCTATATGTCTGTCCCTATGTCATTACCATATTGTTTTGATTACTGGAGCTTTGTAATTAAATTTTTAAATCAGGAAGTGAGCCTCCAACTTTTCTTTACATGTTTAGTTGATTTTTTTTTTTTTTTTGGTCATGAACTGTTTTGTCTCTGCATTTTCTCTTGTGGATATGTACAGATTTTCTTTTTAGCTGTTTTCAAAATGCCATTTTATATTTTGAAAAATGCATTATTGCACACATTCAATCTGTACCATTTTCAACTACATTATTAAGATAAAATATGGACTATGTAAGTCAGAGAAAGTGAGCAGAGAAACTTGCTTACATGATTTCAGATTTATAAAATTATGAAGTGCATCTTTCTTGTCCTAGAAAAACATTTGAATACTTACATAGGTTTATTTTGAGACTTCCTTCTTTGAGACTTCCTCCTTTCTTATAACCTAGAAACAGTTAAAAAACAAATATTAATTAATTACATTGTTATTGGGAAGCTAGGAGGAGGAAGGCTTCATTTGTTAGTTTTTGTGATGCTAAGAAATTATCATTTTAGAAAATACCATTTCATTTTGTTGATGATTCAATACTGTTAATTTTTAAGGCTAAGGAATACTTCAGCAGCTTATTTTAAATAATATAGGTTCTATGGTATTCCCCATAATCTCAGCTACTAATGAGCTGAGATGGGAGGATTGTGTGAATGAAGCTACTATCCTGGGTAACGTAGCAAGACCATGTCTTAAAAAAAAGTGTGTATTTATTTGTAGTTTTTCTGAAGTAAGGGATTTTTAAAATATTAATGGTTTCAGAAACTATAGTCACCAGCCATTTTCTTTACAATTTAAATTACTATTTTGACTAGTGCTTCTAGTTAATAGCATATATGATATCAAGAATATGCATAAACTTTGTGTTTATAGTTGATGCTATAAAGTTCTTTTTTTAACTGTTGTTTATTTGTGTATGTTTTGAACACTCAAATATCTTAAAGTAGATGTTTTCTCTCATATAAAAGAAATGTTAAGACRGTTAGTATATAGCTTCATGCAGACATTTTAGATTCAAGACCCTTTCTGTCTTTTCTTCAGCATCCATTCATGAGAATCATGTGACTTTAATTATTTTTTTGTATTTTTTATTGGTGCATTATAATTGAACATAAAAGTGGGATTTGTTGTTACATATTTGTCTATGCACACAATATAACAGTATAATTTGGGCAGTTTCACTCCCTAGTACCTCTACTTTCCCTCCCTCTTGTCCCCCTTTCCTCTACTGGTCTCCCTTTTTATGAGAGTTCGCTGTGCTTTTCCCCACCTTTTTCCTCTTTTGCTTCCACATATGAGAGAAAACGTATGACCATTGACTTTCTGAGTTTGGCTTATTTCACTTCACATAATGCTCTCTCAAGTTCCATCCATTTTTCTGCAAATGACATGATTTCATTCTTCCTTTGGGTGGATAGAATGCCATTGTGTATGCGTACTTTGGCTTGTCTTCAAAGTGACTCAGAGTCACTTCAGGTTCCAAGTTAGCAGCTGGAGTTCCAGGCATCTTCCTTGTGTTCTAGGCTGGCAGAAGGAGGTAGAGAAATGGGGAGTACTGGAGGGACCAGTGAATTAACATGCACTTTGAGCTGAGCAAACCCTTTGTTTGTTTTGTTTTGGTACTAGGGATTGAACCCAGGGCCTAGCACATGGTATGCAAGTGCCCTACCACTGAGCTATAGCCCTAATCTCTAATTCCTAATCCTTGACATCATACTGTTTTTATGTGTGTACTAATCTCTTTTTATCTTTGTGCTTAGATGTCTATTCTTTTACAGAAATAAGTCATTTTTAGCCAGGCAGAGTGGCGCACGTTTGTAATCTCCGCAACTCAAGAGGCTGAGGCAGGAGGATGTCAAGTTCAAAGTCAGCCTTGTCTCAGAACATTTTGAAAAATGACTCTCCCAGGGTTAGAGAGCCCCTGGGTTCATTCCTCAGTGCTAAAAAAAAAAATTAAAAAGTCATTGTTTTCATTTGGTATATRTATTCATTTGTGATAGTTAAGATTTTAAAATTAGATTTAATTTCAAGGTATACTTTTAGGTGGATGATGAAGATTTACAAGATGAACCTTTACAGATCACAGTTCTTGACCATGATACTTACAGTGCAAATGATGCCATTGGTAAAGTGTACATTGATATTGATCCTTTACTGTACAGTGAGGCTGCAACAGTCATCTCAGGATGGTTTCCAATTTATGACACTATACATGGTAAGGAGTAATAATTTAAGAAATCTCATAAAATTAATGTTTTATATTTATTCTTGAAGACTTTACTACTACATGGTTTTAAAATGTATATCTTACATGCCTTTTTAAAAATTGACAAGTAGAAAAGTAATAGTAAAATATTGTTCATAGAATTTTTACTCCTCTGATCGGAAATTAAAATTATGCCTGAAAAATTTGTGCAACATAGTAAGTAAATGCATTATTTAAAAATTATCTTGAGGTACTGGGATGTAACTCAGTGGTAGAGTGTCTAGTATGCATGAGGGCCTGGGTTTGATTCCTAACACCTCAAAAAAGAAAATTAATTTTGCTGGTACTCTGTGTTTCTAAAACATATTTTCAAACTGATAATATTTGCTTATAAAATCTTAAAAGTTTTTTTGTTGTTAAAGCAGGGTTTTCAAAGTATACTGCAAGAATAATTAAGGGTCTCCAAAAATTCTTTCACAGGGTCTGTGAGTTGAGAACTATTTTTAGCATAATATTCATATATATTCACTACATTTATTCTCACTCTATTCCAAGAATACAGTGGAATTTTCTGGAAGTTTTTCTGACATTTGATGTTACCACCAACTGAATGCAGAGCAGAAATGAGAATCTGTGTTATCATTAAGTAAATTATAGGTATTTGAAAAATGTAACAATACTTCTCTTAATACTAAATTTTTTTAGTATTAAGTGATCCCCAGCAAAATAAATGAACGAATGAGTAAATAAGTAAGGGCAAATATAGAACCTGAGTTATACAGTCAGAAAAAAAAGAACACATTTTCAGAATACAGTGCAACAAATGTGCATGATATATTATGGATTACAGAATGCATGTTATAAAGCATTCATTATATGATGATCTCAAAGTTGTTTAGAACCCAAAGAATTATATTTATGTGATATCATTGGAGAAATTTGCAGAATACATTATCAAATGTTTATCCTAGATAATTACTTTTCTGGATTATTTTTCTTGTTTGCCTCCCCCCCCTTTTTTAACTTTTCCCCTATTTTCTATAATATACATATATAATACACATACAGACACAGACACACACACATACATATTTCCTTTATAAACAGAAATTTAGTCATCTTTTATGTTACAAATTAAGAAAATATACTGATATTCTKCCAGTTATGGCCTTATGAGCCTTTAGTTTCAGTTTAGTTTTCAGCCTTTAGTTTCTACTCAGGAGTTTGAGGCAGAAGTTCATACTCTGAACCTAGGCAAAACAGGCCTGTGGTCAAAATTAAATGAATAAATTAAAAAAAAAGAGGCTGAAATACTAATCTGGACTTGGATTAAAGGCAGTAAATAGCTATATAAATGAATAAATTTCCCCACCATTTACTATTAAATATTGTTTATAGGGAGTTAAATATGTTTATGGGCTCTTTGTTAGAAATACAATCTTATGATTTCAACAGATAAATTAATAAATGACTTTTCTTAGAAGGCCCTCTGCCATAAGTGAATTTGAAGTCAAACAGTCAAGTGAAAATATTTAGTAAATATTTAGAGCTAAGAGCTGGATCATTCTTTTTTATTAGACTATGTTCTGAAAACCCTTATTTTTGGAATTTTAAAATTGGTGTATTTTAATTATTTACAATAGTGGGATTCATTATGCCATATTGTACATGCACATAGAATAATTTGACCAATATCATATTCTCAAAATTTTTTAATTAGCTTATTTGAAATTTTATTCATTGAAATGAATACAACTTCTATTGAATTATAATCTTGCATTAAGTGTTAAGAGTATATACTCTGAAATCATAAAGATCTTCCTTAAATCCTGGAATCTTTCACTAACTAGCTAATGACACTGAATATATTATTTAATTTTTATTAATTACATGTTTCTTTTTCTGTAAAATGGGTATGGTACTATGACAGAAATTACCTTTTTGGGTTGATGTGAATACAGTGAGATACTATATGAAAAACATTTAATATGTCATCTGTCAGTACTCAGCAAATGTTATCACCACTATCGTTATCATCATCGTTGTCATTGTCATCAATTTAAATGGGATTCTGCTCCATTCAGTCTTAGTTCAAATAAATGCAGACTTTTGGTAGTAGTGAAAATTATTCATTCTTGTGCATAGATGTTCTGCTTCAGAAAATACAAGAAAACCACTGATAATGAAAGTAATTAAGATACAAAGTTAACATTACTATTATAATTTATACATTATTTTGAAACCATTAATTGCATCTATTTGCTTCATTATTTATTGTACACTATTTTCTTAAGGTATATTGATTTTCCTTTTGAATATGTAGGTATCCGTGGAGAAATCAATGTAGTTGTCAAAGTAGACCTCTTCAATGATTTAAATCGATTTAGACAGTCATCGTGTGGAGTCAAATTCTTTTGCAGTAAGTAAATATATTGTTTTATTTAACAGGAAATTTCATGATTTTTAAATATAGAAAAATTCAATTAATATTTTAGAAGGCTAATAAAAATGGTATACTTTGATTTTAATATTAAAGAAAAAATTATTAATTTTCTAGAAACAATTACTGTAGCTCTCTGGTTATTTATTTGATTTAAGAGTAAATGTTATCTAATTTTTACAAGTTTATTGAAAAATTTTTAAAAAAAATCCAGTAATGTTTTATTGTAGTATAGGTCACTGAAGGATAGGAGCAGAACATTTTAGCCAAGCACTGTGGTACAAACCCATATCACATAGGCTTTTGTGAGTATGAAGCCCCAAGAACTCCTTGAAATATATGAGTCTGGCCTGTGCAAATTTGGGCATCTTCTAGCCAATCCTTATTAGTAGGGTTGAGAACCACTAGGTAGTTGATTATCTTTGATACATGAATGCTGTTTTAATATACTAGTTTGGTGTAGATGTTCTAAGATTCTACTCCTTAAGATCTGACATAAATTCAATGACATATATATATATATATATATCTTTTTTTTTTTTCAACACAATGCCTTTATTTATTTATTTTTTTAATGTGGTGCTGAGAATCAAACTCTGGTCCCGCCCGTGCTAAGCGAGTGCTCTACCGCTGAGCCGCAATCCTAWCCCTGACATTTTATTTAAATGAGTCTTAAGTGAGCACATATTAAACAAGTCTATTAAATACAGCAATGACTATTGGACCAGTTGACTATATGACCATGGATTATTAGAAACTGCAGGGCTATTTGACTCCTTTGGTTATATCAGAAATGTAGTGGTCTAATTCTTGAAACTGCATTATGTGGTATACAGAAGAATTTCTGCCAGGGACCCTGAATAATTTGTCTTCATAATAAGCTAGTTAACTTTAATTTTGATTTTTTTTTTTTTGCCATGTCACTGTACTTTTAATTCAATATTAGATTCATCACATTTTGTGATTCCCTTCCTGTGTATGTTTTTTATTTGTATTTTAAAAATAATTTTAATTTTTTAAAAATTTAAAAATTCTAAAATTGTTATATATAACAGCGGAATACATTACATTTCATATTACACATAGAGCACAATTTTCATATCTCTGGTTGCATACAAAGTACCTTCACATCCTTCATGTCTTTTACCTTGAGATAAACAGAAGCTCTAATAGATAGTTTGTTTTAACATGTACTTTGGATAATGATGTCCATCTCATTCCACCATCATTTCTATGCCCATGCCCCTTCCCTTCCCCTCAAATATCTTAGAGTAGATGTTTGTTTTTCTTCTTCTTCTTTTATTTTTCAGTAGTACTGGGGAATCAAACCCAGAGCTTCATAGTTAGGCACTCTACCACTGAGCTACATCCTCAGTCCTCCTTTTTTTTTTTTTTTTTTTTTTTAAGTTTGAGACAGGGTCTCACTTAGTTGCCCAAAGTTGCCTTGAACTTGGCAATCTTCTTACCTCAGCTCCACAAGTAGCTGGGACAGCATGCATGCACTACCAGGCCTCGGTCTGTAGGTATTTTCTTAATTGCAAAAGTACGATTTATATTTATCAGGCTTATGTGAAAAAGTGAGGTGTGTCATGAGAGAAAAGTTATTTGTAAGATTAAAATGTGTCTTAGAAGACTTTTTAATTGGGAGTATTATAATTCCACTAGTAATTACACAATTACATTGAGATCATCATAATATAAAAGATGTTTTTGTATATCTAAAAGGTAAGAACTTTGACATGCATTTTTTAAAATTCATTTTTATCTTGTGATTAACAGAAGCTCTAATAGATAGTTTGTTTTAACAGCAACGTCTATTCCAAAGTGCTATAGAGCTGTGATAATTCATGGATTTGTAGAAGAACTTGTAGTCAACGAAGACCCAGAATATCAATGGATCGATCGAATTCGTACACCAAGGGCATCAAATGAGGCCAGACAGAGACTCATTTCTTTAATGTCAGGTATAAATAAAATAATTTCATTTTGATTAATACTGAGTTTTTGCTTTCCTTTTGTAATGAAGGCTAAGATTTTAGGTGACTGATTCCCTACTCTTGGCCCCATCCTGCTGAACATTTTTAACAAGTGGAAATCTGAATCAGAAGCTTGTAGTAAACTAGGTAATGAAAGGAAATTGTGTTATTGAAGTGGGTTAGTGGGTGGAAAGAGCCCTGAGTTAGGAGGTTCAGAAAGGAGTCCTGAGCAGGAAACTGGATTTTAGTTTTCTTTCCTCTAGCATTGGTTATAGTCAGAACTTAAGTAAATCTTTTATCCCTGTCTCTAATACTCTCTGTTCAAATGTTACCTTTTCATAGTCTTTTCCTGAGAATTTGTTGTTTAGCTTCCTCTACCCCTCCTGGCACTTCCTTTGCCACTCTTATCTCATTACCTTTCTTTATTCTTCTTTGGAGAACTCATTTACTACCTGAAATTTGTATTTATTTTTGTGTGTGCATACAATATATATTCACAAAAGACACAAACAAGAATAAATGTTATATTTAATAAATGCATTATATTTGTATTCGGTATATTTGTGCTGTGACATAATCATACTGTATTATAATAAAATTATGTTCTATGTATTGTTTATACTTATATATTCTCTATAATATCTATTTTTGTTTACTTATTTAATTATCTTTTTATCCCACCAATGTTAAGCTTCACTAGATTTGGAACTTTACTTTTACTGTTCACCCAAGCATCTCTAGCACTTTGAGGAAGGGAAKAATGCCAAGCACATAGCACAGAACCAAAAAAAGGTTTGGTAAATGAGGTGCATGAATGAGTCTCATTTCCCTGAAAATAGGAAGTTAGACCAGATAATCTTTTAAGTTCCCATCAAGTTCTAAAATTCTATGATCTTTTTAAACTTGTTTTTTTGTCACTACCTTATCTAGCTTTATAGTATGTATTGTCGGGAAATGAAACAAAGCATGAGTTTTTTTCTTTCTTTTGTGGTAGGTGAACTACAAAGGAAGATTGGCTTAAAAGTACTCGAAATGAGAGGAAATGCAGTTGTTGGCTACTTACAGTGTTTTGATCTGGAGGGCGAGTCTGGGTTAGTGGTACGAGCCATAGGAACAGCGTGTACTCTGGATAAATTAAGTAGCCCAGCAGCATTCCTTCCTGCATGCAATTCTCCATCTAAAGAAATGAAGGAGTAAGTATGAATTAATGAAATTGTTCTTATGGAGATTTTTATCTCTTACCTATACATTTTCATTTGCTTTACAACATTTTAGTAGCATTGTTTGATGTGTATTTCATTTTCTTCTGTGATTTTTCTTATCAGAGATGACTGTCAAATTTTAACTTAAAAATATTTACATAATCCTAGTATTTTATTTATAATATAAAATGTGAAGTAGTATAAACTTAAACTATTCTACATCTTTATTTTTTTTTATTTTAATTTTTTTTAGAGAGAGAATTTTTTAATATTTAKTTTTTAGTTTTTGTTTGTACGTGGTGCTGAGGATCGAACCCGGGCCGCACGCATGCCAGGCGAGCGCGCTACCACTTGAGCCACATCCCCAGCTCCTATTCTACATCTTTAGACATTATGTATCTAAAACATAAAATGAATATTCATGCAATGTGTGGAATTTTATTTATTTTTTTAGGGAATATTTGAAACCCTGAATTATAATCCAATTATTTTTATTATTGGCAACATAGTATAGAGAGGAATAAGGATTGGCTTGTGCAGGAGTCTCAAACTCAAATGTCTACAGAGGCCAGGCAGTTTATTAAAATAAAATCATTGAATAGGAATACTGGGGTCTGTGTAAGGCTGAAGTTGGCAAATCCTCCCTCTTTCTTTTCTTTCTRCTTCTTTGCTTCCTCCCTTCCCTCCACCCCTTGTCTTCCTCTACATTTCCTTGTCCTCCCCCGACTTTTGTTTTTGTGATGAGGGGTCTCACTATGTTGCCTAGGCTGACCTTGAACTCCTGTACTCAAAGCTATCCTCTTGCCTTAGCCTCCTGAGGAGCTGGGATTACAGGTGCATTCCACTATGCTTGGCTTGGCAAACTTTTCTTTCAAAGGAGAGATGCTAAATAGTTCAGGCATTGACAATAGAGTCTCTGTCTTTATTTATCAGAAACAAAACAGAAAAACCCATGAGTTTGCCCATCCCCTATCTAAGAGGTTAGAATCATAAATTTTTATTTCTAGAAACTATGTGTGATAGTTCCTTTGGTTGGATTTGGTCTGTGTGTCCTTATTTGTGTCAAAGGCAGAGATTCCAGCTTGGTGATGTTATATGTTGAACATTGGTAATTAAAAAATTGGAAATCCAAAGTGCTCCAAAATTCAAATGTTTTTTAGTTTTGGCACTCAAATGTTTCAGATTTTGGAACATTTTGGATTTTGGATTTTCAGAATAGGATGCTCATTGAGTAAAGTCTGTAAATATTCAAAATCTGAAAAAAAAATCTGAAATCTGAACTCTTGTTCTCAAGCATTTTGAATAAGTGATTTGAAAAAGGACTTTCCTGTCATAGTGACTAGGTTAGTAGTTTCTTTTGTGGGCCAGAGATACTGACACAACAAGGAACAACTTGTAACTACAAAAACTTGTTCCATCCTAAATGCCAATAGTATTTTCATTGAGGAGCATTGATATAGAGATATGTCTAGAGTGAGGATTGGTAAACTTTTTTGATAAATGCTCCCATGGGACAGGTAAATAATTTTCGTTTTTGCTAATGCAACTATATGACTCCACTGTTACAGCACCGTAGCAGTCATAGACAATATGCAAACTAATTGGTATGGCTGAGTTCCAGTAAAACTGTATTTACAAAACAGATGGCAGGTGGATTTGGCTTGCAGGCTGGAGTTTACTGACTCCTGTTCTTGATTGTCAGGGAGTCAGCATTCTGTAGTCAGAAAACTTAAACCATTTCCCAGTTCAGCCATTTTAAGGGAGGTTGAATGGAAAACAATCACAGTCTTGAAAAAAAGTGTTCTAAAATCTGACCCTTTTTAAAATGACATTTTATCTTAAGCATATTCTTTTTGGTTAGCCATTTCCTTTTTTCTGGCCTTTAGTCATTTGGATTAAATTTTATTCATAAGAGGAAGCATGAAATTGCATAATTTTATTTGAAAACACATTGACAAGTGAAGTAATTTAAAAAAATAAACTGAAGAGTGAAGTTGCTAAAATAGGTCTGGAAGAACTGTCAGCTGCTAGAGGTAGAATCAGATTGCAGGTGTAACTTTTTGAGGGATTTAGAATTTTCCCCCTTCTTTTCATAGCAAATTTAAGTGAAGACCTCCTTCTCTCCACTTGACACTCTCTAGTTTTACCTACACTGATTGAAGGGACTTGGCTTTTGCAGTTGTGATATCTGAAGGTCTTTTTCCACTCTGATATTTAGTGGAAAGAAAAAGCTATATTATCTGTTGGTGTCTTAGGATGAGATATGAATAGCAGGGAAATATGTTTCACATGCTTTCAGGAAGAGATCCATTGATGTAAACCTTCTGGGATTRTATAGATATTCTCCTCTTCTAATTTGTCATAGCCATTTTCTTTAAATTATCAAACACTCACACAATGAAGAATTTAAGTTGTTTTATTAGGATTTTCTGAACAGCATCTTATTACCTAGKTCATGTCATTTAGAAAAACCCTCTGTATTTAGGCAACTTTATTTGAGCCAGCTTCATTGTATTCTTGATAGTTTGAGTACTATTTCCAAACTTATTTTATGACTTGGCTGATTATAATTATTCTAGTATTTAATTATCGTATAACATTGCTGAGTCTAGATAGGAATTTGATAAAAGGTAGTGTAGATTTGATTTAACGGATTAAATGAATTACCTGAGTGATTAGATATTACAATGTATAGAATGGACTTAATATTAGAAATACCATAGGTTGTTATTGTGAGGCAGCCTTTCATGCAAAGAGACTGATAGAGTCAAAACTCCAAGAATACATTATGGTATGCTTCAGTGTATTTGAATTAAAATTTGATGTCATAATTTGAACATTTTAATGGTATGTTCTACTGCATGAGTTTTCTTCCTTTTAGATGTTTAACATAATGCAAACTATAATACCTTTTTTCTTGCTGAACTTTGGTGGTAAAAAGTGTTAAGTCTAATGTATCACTTTTCAAAAAATGCTTTCTAAGAGACTTCAGCCATAATTTTTCCTATGTACAGCTCTGATTCTTAGATGTTTCAGTGTAAGAATTCTCGGATTTTTTCATGCTTTAGCAACAAAATACAAAACAAACAAACAAAATCTCACTTAGTTGTTTCTATAAAAATTGATTGCCAATAAGGTGTTTGATTTTCATCAGTTATACAAAACACATTTTTAAATTTATATTAGCAACAAAAGCAGAAACACTTTTMCCATTGTAAATCAATAATCTTTTTAAAAGGTAGCCTGTGGAAGCTGGTAAAAACCTTTGTGGCCAATAAGTGACAGCTCATGTTTGATCCTTGACAGGTTATGATTGGTGGGATTTTTCCCTGAGCAGTTAGTATACTCATTAAGGAAAGGCCAGGAAAAGTAGAACTCTTGCCTGTTTTTAATTTGACTTCTAAAAAAATGGGAGATATGATAGTTTATTTATATAGGATTCTTCCCCCCGTTGTACAAAAACAAAGATATTGTACAGTGTAATAGTTGTTAACATGAAGTCCACAATTCTTTTTTATGTAATATACCTATTTACTACATTCAGTATAACTTTTTTAGCCAAATTCCTCTTGAGAAATTTAAATTTTTTTATATGAATTTACATTTATATATTTAATCTAAGTTTATTTCTGTATACACAAAGATGTGTTCTATTAGAGGATATAAGTTAGTATCTTATAAAATTTTAATTCAGAATGTAGTTTATGTAGTATATTCAGTATGAGAACTAGACAACATTATTTACATTGCTTTATTAGTATACTTGTAAAAGCAGTGTCCCTTTGTTTTGTTTTGTTTTCAGTGTAGCCTGGTTATAAGCTATATATTTGATACAGTTGAAATACTAGATTGTGTATATCTATTTATATACTAGAATGTGTATATCTATTTWTATTCAGTCAGTTCACTCATTTCTCTTTATGTGTCAGTTTTCACATTCTTAAATATTCTTGTCGTGAGATTCTAGACAGAAACAGTTGTTAGTTAAGCTTTCTTCATAGAAAAATATAAATATATTTGCGGTTTATATCTCAGTTTCAAAGGTAATATGAGAACTCTATATTTGACTTCTCACTTTTATGGGTGTTTCTTCCCATAAATATTGCATAGTAAGTTCCATGAAATTAATATATTAAAGCAACTTGAAATCCAAATCTTAGTATTTTTTCTTATTTACAATCATAATTTATTAATCTGAACCTTTCAAACTACAACCATATCCTAACAAATTAATATTTAGATGTTCTTTTTGAATTTCATCTAATTTTTTTGCATGCGAGGGATTTAAAAGTAAGTTCTCTCCTTGAACTAAAGCTCCTTCAAAATTATTTAACATAACTTTGCAATCTGTTGTATGTATTGTTTTCTTTTCTTCCACTTTGACCACAAATTCCCTCAGGTCTCCGCTGGTCCATCCTCCAAGCCTTGGATGCCGCTCGACTCACAACAGCCCAATTCACACTGCTACTGGCTCACGACTTACTCAGAACTTCTCTGTGTCTGTTCCCACTCTCATCTATACTGGTACGAGACTGCTCAGACTCCAGAGCTGGGGAGAGGCAGGCCACGGGCAGAGTGGCTGCAGAGGCAGGCAGGCAGGTAGCGTAGGCAGGTACCACAAGTCTTTGCTTCTTCATTTTCTTACTGGAAGTCCAGCTGCAGTGAAGAACTTCTGTATTCAGTTGCCGCAGAGGCTCACACTCTATGGAAGTGAAAGTGTTCTTCCAGCTTCCAAAGTCTCTTCCACAGATCCTCTCAGAACCTTATCTTATATAAGTGTACTACTGTGAGTTTTGAGGAGAATCTCTCAAAATGTGTTCTGTAATTTTTTAGAAATGAAATTGTTAATAAGATTCTAAATGAAATAGATACCAAACCTTCCAGTTTGCTTGTTTTCTTTATGTACTAAACCTGTTACGGTAGGGTCTGTTTCATTCTGTGGAAGAGAGCTATTGGAAAACAGGTAAGCAACTATTCTGCATTAAATGTGATGTTTCTGTGTAGTTATTTTCATTTTCCTCTTTGATGTGTTTTTAGCTGTGGCACTCTTGATGCTATAGGATAAGGAAACATTTTTTTCTTTTGAAGATACCTGTGTGTGTGCAAATATGAAAACAATTATGAATATTTCCACACACAATTTGTAGCCATCATTTTTCTTTTGTAACTTAAAAAATCATTTTAAAATATTTTGTCATTTTTTTAATTTCTCCTTTTAATATGTTTTAGCCCCTAAGTCTGTCATTTCATGCTTTTTTGCTTTATCACTTGGCTTATTAACTGTTTCAATGCAGATAATATTTATCTGGAGAATGATGAATGGTTAAACAGCAATTGGTTGTCTTTGGCCTCATTCCCAGCTCCACATTTAAGAAATGACTGCTGGCCCTGCCCCAATACTTTCCTGGTGTTTGGATCATGCTGCCAACCGTCAAGCCCTTTGGCACATGATTACTTATTTTTTTCCACCTTCTTCTGGCAGGATTCCCTTCAATGAAGATCCCAATCCCAATACTCACTCATCAGGACCCTCAACCCCTCTGAAAAACCAAACTTATTCCTTTTCACCTTCCAAGTCCTACAGTCGACAGTCCTCTTCTTCTGACACAGATTTGAGTTTGACACCCAAAACTGGTAAGGCGCTTCCACCCACCTTTTGTTTTTTCTTTTTTTAAAAAAATTTGTTTCTGTTTCTTACTAGCTTTCCATCCAAATCTTTCCTCCTGTTTTTGGCATTTAAGTTAAAAATTAATGTGACTTGATTATTTTCAGTTATTACAATTAAAATATTAAGGTTTTTTTTTTTAGTTCAGAAATTATCTTGTTTAAAGATCAACATTTTGTTAATTTAATCAGAGTGTAGCCATAAAGTCTGAAATTCATTTTTGTGTRTAGATTTTTTTCATTTCATACTCAGGAGGAATAACATCTTAACGTATTTGAATAGAAAGTAACACCAGTGGCTTGGAATCAAATACTCCTTGAAGTATTAGCATTTTTAAATTCATTGTTTGTGCCTCTCTGAATTGAATTCTGGGATTTTATTATAAAAATAATTTTCAGAACTGAAATGATTACATTGGAGTACATAGCTATTCATCTATTTATTAATTTGTTATTTAAAATGTTTGGGTTTGCTAGTTTACTCTCTAGCTTAGAAAATGTTATTTTTAGTTATACTTGAATATTTCTCAATTTATTAAACTTATAATTTTTTCCCTCTCCTATTTGTATTTTTATGAGTAATCTTTGTGGGTTTTTATGCATATGTTTATGATAAAAAGTTCATATAGATTAAGTTAGTATCTTACTCCCTAAAATAGAATGAACTTATATAAAGCATTAAATTATTATTTTTTCTAAGGAAAATTAAAAATAAGTTAAAACATTTAACAGTTTATAATTTTTGTAAATAGTATTTTTGTCTGGCAGTTTTCCCATCAGATTGATTAAAGTATAGTTCTTATTTGTATTACTTTTAAACTTATCATCTTTAATAGACTTACTTTTGTGTTAGAAAAGAAATTTATAAAATGATCCCAGATTTTGTGAAAACAATGAAAAGAAAGCTAATTCCAAACCAGTGCTACTTATAGAGAAAGGACTTTTTTTTAAAAAAACTCATCGCTTTAATTGCTATTTTTTATAAATGTCATTAAAACATAAAGATAATTATAGACTTACTTCTTTTGATAATAACTTTATTTTTACATATACATTAAGCTCTTCATTTTCCTGAGTTCCACCTCTGAATTCAACCAATCATAGATTGAAAATATTTGAAAAATAATTGGATCTATGCTAAACATGTACAGATTTAAAAATTGTCATTTTTCTCTAAGCAGTATTGCTAACAGCTATTTACATTACATTGCATTAGGTATTATAAAGTAATCAAAGATGATTTAAAATGCATAGAATGCACACAGGCTATATTCAAATATGATTGCATTTTATGTAAAGGACTGGAGCATTTGTGGATTTTGGTATTGGGTGTGGTGGTGGTGCTTATCCTGGATCAGTCTGTTGCAGAGCTAAGAGATGACTGACTTTAATTATGAACAAACATCTAAAAATAAGAGTATTTGATTGTAATGGATGCTTTGGAATGTGGCATTTTAACCATATTTATGCCACAAAAATTGAATCACTCAAAGTACASTAAAAAATGTTTTTTAAATAAAGAATAGGAGAGTCTGGCCTTCATATTCATGACAATCAGAATTAGACAGACTTAGGATAGTATTTAAAGAATACTTTTTTGAAGCTTTTTTTCACTAACTTTGTATTCCAGGCCACTTTTCAATACTCTTATCTTTTATTTTCCTTTGCCATACCACATAAAGTTTTGAGAGTATTTCCTTGGCTTTTTGTTTCTAAAGTCTATGCCTACTAAAGCAGATTGTTAAGATATAAATCAGTTGAACCACACTTCTCTTAACTAATAGGCAATTAACAGTATTAGCAATGACAACCTTTTTGTATTATTAGTACTTAAAAATCTATTTACAAATGAAGTATTAATTTTAGTGTGTAAGCTTGCTCTAAATAGTTTGTTTGCCCATAAATATTTACTACCTCAATAGCTTATTTATAAAATATTAGCAGTTTTTAGTTTCTTGGCCTTAGCATGAGCCCTTAGATATCTGAATAATTCTGAGGAGCRTTCCTGTTTCTCATAGAGAAGTAATTTGGTAAAATTAAAACTGTTTTAAAATTCCTAGAACTATAATTCAGCATGTTTGTCATGCTTTTCTGCCTTCTAATTTATCCATATGTAGAATCGGTATCTTGAGAAATATTGGAATGAGATAATCTGATTATAATTGATTTATCATTACTAACTGGGAAGACAAAAGTAGAACAAAAGTAATAAAGCTTAGATAGAAAAAGTTGTTTTTTGTCGTTGTTTATAATTAATGCTCTTGCTTGTTTTTCTGGTAGGTCTTCTCTTTTTTTAAAAAAAATTAACTCTTTCTGTAAATTTTAACTTATGACATTTTATGAGGCTTTATTTTTTTCCCMAAGTAGTCAACTAATAAGAGTGGGATTTTAAAATGCTAGTGTTAGAATACTAATTCGACACCTGACTTGAACTAAATTTTTCTTTTTTAATCAGGTAGCTAGCTATGTATAGTTTCTGTGATCCAGAGGTTATCGGACCCTGATGAGGCTCAAATATCTGTACTTCACACAGTACTGTGATCAGATTAAAGTGTGAACAATTTTAGAGAAAAAAGAAAAGTATTAACATATCTCAAAGCTGGACAGAAGGAAGTTGGTATTTATTTTAGATTAATAATGACAATTGCCTACACCTAATGAGGTGCCATTTGATTTTGTTTTTAAAGTAGATTTTCAATTCAAATACCCAGAGTGCTATCTTTTATTTTAGCTAGTAAAATTTGAAAATACTGTACTTTACCACTTTAAATAAGTGTTTATAGTTGAGGCAACAAGTTTCAGGCTTTAACACTTTGAAAATGTGGTACATTTTAACCCTTTGAATTCATAAACAAGAAAAGGGTAGGTAATTTAAGTATTTTGAAGAAGTCAGTTAAAAGTAAGATGAAAATGATTAAAATGGCATTAAATCCTCAGTCATTAATTTTTTTAAAGATTGTAGAGTTTGAAAGGTTTTCATTAAGTTTTAGAATATACCTTTTATTTGTATTATATTGGATAGATAGTTTTGCTAGTGACTTTTCATATGCTTAGTATAACTTGTCTATACATTTTAAAATTCATTTTTACTGTTATGTTTGCTGCTTCATCATTGCTTTCCTTATYCTGCATTTCCTGATCATCTTCTGAATCTGCATCTTTTCTCTGCTACTTTCCTCCACAGCACCTTACCCACAGGGACCTAGGATTTACCTGTGTCCCAGCTCCCCCTCTCTCTCTTGTGGTTCCCTTCATCTTAAAAAGTCCTGTCTCCTCCTCTCGGAATCTAGCCTTACCCCTCATCATTCTAGCCTTGTCAGCCCAGTTCTGAGGAAAAGTGTTTCTTTCAGTGAAGAGCTGTTCCTGGCTGCTTCTGGTAGGATCACATTATGTCAGCTTTTTAATCCCTTTACTTTAAATCATTTTTGAAAAAAATTTAATTATTTCATACTATAAAGAATTATTGCATATTTTTACAGGATGTATTTCTATTATTTTTTTTTACTGATAAAGAGTTGAACAATTAGATTTATCATAGGATATAATTGAGCATTACTTGATGGATAATTATGAATATTTGGTAAATTATTGTATACATTAAAAAAAGTTTATGTCTAATGACTTAGATCTGGCTGTTCACAATAATTATTTAAGTTCTTAGTACTAGCATTTCTGTTTTAGATGCTTTACTTTCTTCCCTACATACCAATTCTGTTCACGTTGGACCTGTATCATCTCATTGCTAAACCATATGGTTACATTAGTAAATTATTCTGTTTGAATCAGTTTAAGTCTCATTTTTTCTCATCATTGCATTAATCAAATTATTCTATATTTTTTGATGTTTTCCTTGTCACTACAAATTTACATTTTATTTTATGGCTTTTAATATGCTTCATATAAAGATCTTAGTTTAATTTCTGTTTAGCGTTGTATAGTCTCTTAAAAATGTTTAGGTTAATCTAAGAAAATTGAATTTACTTTTTACCTTTAAAGAACAGAATGGGACTATACACATGCTAATCTTTGTTTCCTTATCCAAGAACAGCTAAAAATGTAAAATTAAATTAGCTCCTTTTTAAGTTATTGTAGTAAATTTGAAGGTATGCATTTTCAGTTTGAAATGGGTGGGATGAATTCCAATCTGTAGAATCCTGGGTTCTCACCCATCTCCTGCTTTCATGGATCATAATTTGTCCAGTGGTTCTTTCAAGACAATAAAATAAGATAGGAAAAGAAATTTAAAATTAAGTTTTAAAAAATACAGATACGAGCTTGGGAAATATAATTCTTAAATCCATAATTATGTACATTTGTAATGTGTCTATTATATTTCTGTGACTTTTAGTTTTTTTTTTTCCAAATAATTTCTTTTTGTTTTTTGGAATGAATGTTGACATATATCAAAATAATACCATTTTATATGATGTTATGTTTAGAAATGGGAAGTTATCAGAAAATAAATATACTAAATTTAATAATTACCTAGATTTCATGCTCTTTAGAGAATTTTGGGATATTTTTAGTGATCTTAGTGTTTTTCTTTTCTGTATTTATTCTTAGTCAAACACTTAATATTTCTCTGTTTTTTAGTGTTCTTAAATTGTTAGCATAATAATAATTACCATTTTGATGATTTTTATTTTATTTATACAAATATTTATCTCTTTAACATAGTTTCTTTTCATAACTCTTAAAACACTTGGAGTCTAAAGCTAACCATGATCAGAACTTTGACATCTTGCTTCCAAAGAAAATTTTGCTAGTCTATTAGAGTAAAACATATGCTTTAGTTGCCATCTTGAATACTTTAAATGTGTGGATCATTTTATATTTTGACTCATGAGATTTATGAAGTTGAATGCAATTATACTTTCTGTTTCTATAGTTGGATTTTTTGGTTGTTATTTATGTGCTAATGTTCTGTAGGAATGGGCAGTGGTAGTGCTGGAAAAGAAGGGGGGCCATTTAAAGCTCTTTTAAGACAACAGACACAGTCAGCATTGGAGCAGAGGGTAAGATTTACCAGATATTCTTATTCTTACACTGTTAATATGAACTTATGATCTTATGCTTCTGTGTACATATTTACTTTCCAAAACCAAACTGTTTTTGGTCATATCTGAAAATATTATAGTTTTGAAATCCAACTTGTGTATGAATATTTACTTTTGACTTGGAGTAATTCTGTAACTATTTTATGTTTTCCTCTAATTATTTATTAGAAATATTTTAAAGAAATATCCATTGAATACTGAAGTCATTTTTAATTTTGTCATTAAAATTATAAAGAAATAACATTTTTGAAGAAACAATATATCAGTAGCATTTATTAAAAACAATTCTTTAGTAATATTTTTACTTAACAAAATTATTTTTTATCACTGGTCAATCTCTGAGAGATAAGAAATGTATATTTTCTACATAATTTTACAGATTAATATAGTGTTTCATTAATATAATACATCTATTTTGATTGTTATGTTTATGTTTACTTGCATTGGTTGAGTGGGAAAATGAGTAGTTATAGTTTTTGGATGATTTTTCTCTCTCTCTTTTTTATAAACTTCATTGCTAAGGGAGGATCGCCTCATAGGTTCTGTAGAAGGCGGGTATGTTTCCAAACATGTGTGAGAGCCTATTTCTTGTATTAGAAGCTTTTCCAGTTTTAATCTCAGTCACTTAAGTTTTGTTTAAGCTTTTAACAAATGTTGCCAGCTTTTTTCTTTTCCATAATGCAACTTTTTTTTTTAATTTAATAGCTCCATTAGGCTCATGTTCTTTTTTTTCTACTAATACAGTGCATGATTTTATGTGTTATGTCAATTATTTTAAGACACAGTTTCATAGCTTTTATTATGTTTGATTTGGAAGCTATAAACATTTATAGAATTTTCTTTATTATATTTTATGCCAACATTTGGGAGAAAAAAAGGTGAAGCATAGTAAATAACCTGTGAAAGGATGCGTTTTATAAAACAAAGCTTTTTTTTTTTTCCTACAGTTTGACTGTTGAGAACAATGTTTTTCAGATTCTCTTATTACAATAATAAGAGAGTTTATTTTTCTAGGCTATTTTTCCTCATACTGAAGGTATCCATGTGTGCACAGTTTACTTTTTAGACAAGGACAGGAACGGGCAGAGCTGAATTGAGCAGACCAATACGATCAGCTGTATCCAGTTCTTTGCTTTATACCCCACTGAGCAGCACCTTTCAGCCACTCTCACGTCTCAGAAGCATACCACCTGCTACCACCAAAAAGTTCATCCATACATTTAAATCACATGTTAAAACCAAATACAGCAAAAAACTAAAACATGGAAGAGAAGCAGGTCATTTTTTAGGCCAGAATACTCTTATGTCTGCCTCTTCCTGTTTTTGTGTTCTCTACAGAGTCCTTCATATTGGTATATGATTTCTTGTAATCAAATTACCATTCTAGAATTCACATCAACAGAAAAACTTAGGTTGCCTTAAATTTAGATATAATGAATTTTGTCTTTATTATATGCCTTGTCCATTTTAAGAACCTTTAAAACTGTTTCACTTGAAGGGGAAAAATTAATGAAAATCATTTTGGATTTAATTAGCACGAATCTCTTTTTAAATGTGCTTTTAAACATTCTTAGAATCTTGGCACATTAACACATTGGGCATACATTACTGAACAATCTTCATGTAATTAAAAGGAAAGGTTTTGAGAACTCTAGTTTTCATTTATGACTTTGTAAAAGCTGGGTGTGTAACTGCTGTGGTAGTACATCTATATCATTTGTTATGCAGTGGTAGTTACTTAAGTTTATGAGACTACTTCTCTGCCCTGTATAATAATAAATAACAAAACTTCATGGTTGTTGACTTTGCCTTTCACCTGTGCTGCCATTAGTATAGCTTTTGGCTTTTGCAGTTTTGGGGATCAAACCCAGAGCTTCGTATATCTAGAATGGCTTTTGTTTTGGGAAAAATTTGTACAGAAGTATGAAGAATCTTCCCATTTGTTTAGATGTGTCTTATATCATTTTGAATGTTGTTTTTTAAAAAATACTCATTTCTATTCTTCGCTAAATCTCCCTTTTAAATTTTATTTAAAGAGATACTTCATTGCCCAACCTCATTTAATGGGTTAATTTATTTAAAAATAAAAATATTGTTTTCTTATACAAACATTAAGAGATCTTGGCAATAGATGCCAGGTTATTGGGAGATGAAAAATTAAAGTGAAAGTTTATTTATATTTAAGTCGAAAAAAAAAAAATCCAAGTTACTTTTTAGGTTCTGGGGTGTATATTTTTCTTTTCTTTTCTTTTTTTTAATTTTTATTGTTGGTTGTTCAAAACATTACATAGTTCTTGACATATCATATTTCACACTTTGATTCAAGTGGGTTATGAACTCCCATTTTTACCCCTTATACAGATTGCAGAATCATATCGGTTACACATCCACTGATTTACATATTGCCATACTAGTGTCTGTTGTATTCTGCTGCCTTTCCTATCCTCTACTATCCCCCCTCTCCTATAGTATAAAAACCTAGTTAACTTAGTATTTCCCAAATATATTTTACCATGGAATCTTCTTCAAAAATACCTGTTCATGAGGAACATACTTTGAGAAACATTGATATAAAACACTGTCTTCTGGTGATTAATAATCTTTTTTTTTAAATATTTATTTTTTAGTTGTAGTTGGATACAGTACCTTTATTTTACTTATTTATTTTTTTGTGGTGCTGAGGATCGAACCCAGGGCCTTGCCCATTCTAGGCAAGTATTCTACTACTGAGTCACAACCCCAGCACCTGATTTATAATCTTTTAAAAGTAGGTTAAAATTGTACAATAAATTAATGTAGGAATCTGGCATGGAGTTTTATATCTAGAAAAATTCTCTTGGTAATAAAAAGAGTATATGATTTTAAAAATTATTTGGATATCTTTTTGAAAAATTCCATTTAAATCTTTTGAAAATAATCATGTTTTATTGATTTTTCAACCAGCCTATCTTTAATCATACACTGTTAAATATTTTTATGCTTCATACATATGGCTTATGCCAAAGCATCAAGTAAAATCCATGTCGGGACCACAGGGAAAGATCCTTTAAATATAAAGACTTCTAGAGAAACTATCTTATATGATTGCTAAAATTCACATTTAGGCTTTGAAAGCAGGGTGTGCTTGGCTCATTTAAGGAAACTGTCCTTTCAGTGGAAGAAAAAAATCTATAAATTTGTTCAGTGGAATGAACAAACTATAGATTCAAATCAAGTCTTTCACTCAATGTTTTAACCAGAAATAACAGGGGAACCAGATGATGAGGTTTGTTGTTCAGAAACAGTATATCAATCAAAGGTCCTCATGACCTCAGTTTTACATCTAAACCTGGAAACAATAGACCCTTCTCTCAGGGAATGGGAGAGATTATAAAGCATAGTTTTGACATCCTTCCCACAGAGCAAGTGTAAATGTGCAACAGCAATCTGTGCTGATGGTAATGGAGATGATAGRTACTTAGAGTAACTCTTCTAATTAGAGAATAGTCTGAAGATGGACTTTTGATTAACTGACTTTAATTTTTTTTTTTAGTTGTAGATGGACACAATACCTTTATTTTGTTTATTTTTGTGGTGCCGAAGATTGAACTCAGTGCCTCATATGTGTAGGCGAGTGCTCTACCTGTTAGCTACAACTCCAACCTCAACAGKGACATTTTTGCTTCCAATAGGTTAAGTTCTGTATTTTAGGTTAATTGGTTTGCTGATTGAGTGACACATGTTAGAGCTTAAGTTGGCAGTGAGCCTTCACGTATCGTAGGGCAGCCACTGCTACTATCCTTCTGCTCTAGAGTGTTGCTTTCCCTCTCATTCCTTTATCTAATCTCCCAAAATTTGGGGAGAAGACTAAAAAGTCCTGAATAGAGAAATCATTTAAGTTCATACTTTTAGTACTTATCTAAAATCTTATATGCATATGTTTTCCAATGTGTGTAAATTTACCTAATTTACTTTTTAGCTTTAGAAGAAAGTAGTTTTCCATTTAGTTTCAAAAAAATTATTTTTAATGTCTGTCATTTAGATACGTAAAAGACTTAAGTATAAAGATTAAGTGTAAAGTATTTTTTCCCCCCTTTGGGACCATCACATACCTCATGTATTTTGAGGTACTTTTAGAATCTAAATTTTCCTAATTGGGGGAGGGGGTGGTGCACAGAGAAGGAACAAACCTAAAGACCCAACTTATTATGGAAAATACTAACATTTTTAATAACATAAGCTCACCTATACATGTCATTTAAAACTTACATTAATGAGCTAGCATCATAGCTCATTGGGCTAGGGTTGTGGCTCAGTGGTGGAATACTTGCCTAACATTTATGAGGCACTGGGTTTGATCCTCAGCACCACATAAAAATAAAATAAAGGTATTGAGTGTCCACTGACAACTAATATATATATAAACTTTAAAAAATTGATGATGATGATGATGATGATGTGTATTCCAACTAAATAGTTTATGATATATTCAAGTGATATATGCCCCCTCTATCCTCTTCCCTTCTTTCCCTCTGTCTGTCCATAACCTTGTTTTTTACTCTTTTCTTACATAAGGTTGTCTTTTCTTGCTCCTCCTCTTCTTTTTTTTAAATTTATTTCTTACATACATGACAATAGTGGAATGTATTACTTGCTCTTCTTATATTAATGATTTCCTCTAAATTTTGACCAACTTTTTAAAAAATATACACACACATGCATTTTTTATACTTTACTTTCATGGATTACTGATGTGTGCAGGACTGTTTGCCTTTATGTTAAATGATTCCAGATTGCTATGTTTTGTGAATTATGCTTATGTGAGTTTGTATTCTCCATGCTTTAAGCAGCCAGTCAGAAATCTTGCTGCTTTTTTATGTGCCTGCTTGTAGCAGTATTTTGTATCTTTTTCTGTCCCTGCTTCTATTTTTTGTATTTAATCTGCCATGGTCTAGAAAATAATATAAATTTTAGAATTATACATTCCTAACATATATAACTATGTAACTACTATATATAACAGAGTGAATACCATCTGTGGAGAGATCGCCTATGAATAAAATGCATGAACTTTAATACTYGCAGCTCTGATAGTTCTTTTGACTATTAAGAGCTTTGTTTTGCATATTTCCAGATCTGTTACATTCAAAATAGTTGAGGCTACTGGTAAGTGACTTTTGGTTGAGGGAGCTACATTCATCTGTTTTCTAGCCAGACAGGTCAGATAACAAATTCCCATTACTTGCCTCCGTTTTGTATAATGTGAAGGGGGCCTGTATGTTTGGGCAGCCAACTAATTTGGTATTGGGGATTAAACCCAGGGGTACCTTATCATTGAGCTACATCCCCAGTCCTTTGTATTTTTTGTTTTGAGATAGAGTTTCTCTAAATAGCTGAGAGTCTCACTGTTTCCCAGACTGGCCTTTAATTTGCAATCCTTTCTCAGCCTCCAGAGTTGCTGGGATTATAGGCATGTACACTGCACCTGCTCTGGGTACATGCCTATAAATGTCCTTTCCCTACTTTTTCATTTCTCTTTTGAGTTTTTCTCCTTGTCTTTCAAGTTCAGAGGTTTTCTGTCCTTAAGAGAAAAGGGGAGAATAAAGTTTGGAAGACCTTGTAGAATGGTATTGCCTCCTTAACTCTTACTACATATTTTTACTACATATTCTCCATACCTCTGCTTTTTGCCCTTCCCCCTACTCCTGCTTATGGTGCTAGGGATCAGACCCAGGGCCTCATACGTTCCAGGCAAGTATTCCACCACTGAGCCACAGTGTCAGTCCTCCTCTTTTCTTAATATATGTTTAAGTACTCGCAGTTGTTACTGCTGCTGACAGAGTGAGGATAGTAAATATTTCCATACTGTGATGCTTTGCACACCTTGACTTGGAATTTGTTTTTTTCCTTTCTCATTCCTCTTAATCCACACTGCTCATCCTCTTACTCCCCCTCCATTCATCCCACTTTCTTTCAGGTCTCTTTCCCCAAGCCTTTGGAATCCTTACCAGTATTTTATATTGTGGATGTGCTTGAGAGGGCRGTAAATAGATAATGGAATAGAGGGGTTGGCTTATTCTCTCATCTAATTGTAAAATTGTACTAGAGTAGGAAATGTGCTTTCCAGATGTCTCATGTTTGAACTCTTAAAAACATTTTTTTCACAATGAGATTTGTTAAAAAAGGGTCTTTGGAGTCTGCCTAATAATGTATATGTGGAAAATTTAATTACAAAATATTTATAATGTATAATGGATAGCTTTTAATTTTAATGTATAGAATGTGTTTAATAAACAAATTTTTTATACTTCACACGTGGACAGTTATATTTTTTCCCTTTCTTTCTACCAGGAATTTCCATTTTTTACCCTGACTGCATTTCCTCCTGGATTCCTTGTGCACGTTGGAGGTGTTGTTAGTGCACGTTCTGTGAAGCTTTTGGATCGTATCCACAATCCTGGTATGTTCTTGCTTTTACTGCTTTCCTTTATTTAAATTCTGTTTATTAAAACTGATTTTTATGTTTTATGGACCAAACCTACCTGAAAAGAAAAAATGAAAAGAAAGTATAAACTGGCACATTACTTTAAAATATTTGTAGTAATCTTCATTAAAAAATGATCAAACTCAGTAAAAGTATATGTTAGTTACTTTTCTATATAAAACAAGCACATCTTGGTTTATTTTTGGCTAAGAAATTCCTAAATGATTTTTGAATCAGCAATTTTCTTTGACAGGGGAAGATAGAAAATTTTTACAATTTGACCATTATGGTCATTAATTTAAGATGTTAATTCTTTTTACTAGCAATATGTTTTTATCATTAACTTCTTTGTTTCTAAAAAGAGGTATCCTTTTAAATTGTGAATATTGTGTACAGTATCTAAAAATTAAAAAGAACAAGAACAAACTAATATTTGGTTTTTTGGTTTCTTTTTTGTAAATATTTGTTCTATGTAAATRAACAATGAGAATAGTAGCTCACTTTAAAACATGGGACCATAATTATAAAAGAAGATAGACATCAAAGCCCCAGTAATTTCAGGCCCTTAGATTAGAGATACTCTGGTCATTTTTCTAAATCTAAAATAAGCATGACAAATGGTAGGAACTTTACATATGGAATGTATTTTTGCATCTCTCATTATCTAGATGCTCAATCATTTGCTCAAGTCACTAATTTTGATGACATATCTTAGACCTGAAGTTATATTAGTATTCTTATTTGGCATCTATACATACATATTTTTGAAAGTTTTAATTTGTCACTCTGGAAAGTAATATCTTTGTGATGCTTATACTGAGAACTATGAAAAAAAGTAGAATCCTTTAAAATTATTGGGTGGAAAACATTGCAGATAATGATTTTGAGGATTTATTGCATTCCCATTCTTTCAGCTTTTTCAATATTTAATCCATGTTTCGTGCTTTCATTTTGTATGAGTTAATTTCAGAGAGGATGCAATTATTCAGGACCCTGAATACGATTCAGAGAAGAAGTGCTAGCCGGATCTACTTAATTCAGAAGCTTAGCAAATATGTCTTTTAAGCACCAGTCTTTTTTTTTTCTTCTTTGGTTTATTTTTTCCCCATTTCTTATTTTTTTTTGGTTAATTTAAGAACTTTTCTTCTTTGTAGTACTTGTGTATTCTTTGTTTCTTAGAGAAAAATTAAGACTAATGCCACTTTATGGTATTAAGATATTGGGTATTAAGATATTCTATATCTTTGTGTTTAGGACTTTGAATTTTTTGGAAAGTTTAAGGAAATACTAGTTAAGGTACGTGACATTAATTGGGTGACACAATGCTAGTCACCTAAATTTCTATGGACTTTTGACTCCAATATTTTAGTAGATGGTATCTACTAATGAGATTCCAAAAACAGCTTCAAGGTTATTTTCAATCATTGGTAATATCTTCTAAAATGAAAACATTTTTATATTTTATTTTGTTGCTTCCATGTACTCTGAATAAATGGTAGAATCTGGGAGAACAAAGGTTACTTAAATAAACTTACATGTAGAGGTGTGTTTTAAATGTCATTTTTTTTTTAAACAAAAGACTGTTTTTTTGGGGGGAGTTATCATACCTGGCAATTTATTATAGCTTTGTTATAACTGTAAGAATCTAGGTCCAGTGAAGAATATGAGAATCCTGTTACAGAATGTTTTTTGTGTCGTAATTAGCAGTCACCAGTTTCCTCCTTTCTCCCCACTTTCAGAATAGTTTTTCAGTTCAGGTATAGAAATTCTTCAGTTATTAATGGACTATTCCCAAAAGACTATGGGCATATACATATAAATGCTTTCAATGGTGTATGAGTTACATTTTCATTTTTTTTCTTTTAGTTAAATACATGTCAATTATATATTCGAATGATTTCAATAGTATCTTACTTTGATTTAAAATATCATTCATTGGATTGTTTTATGTATGTATTATACACTAAAAAGGAACATTTACTTAAGATCATTTGTTAATCTCTAAACTGCTTAAATATTTTTTTATGAAAAAATCTTAATTTGTTGAGAAAATTAAACTCTGGATTAGCATCTACTATAATGACGATGAGTAATTTTGTACCACTGAGCCATTCTGCTAATAGAAACTTGGGTAGTGATATACATGTGTCAATGTTGAAAATACTGTTTTCACCCTCAAGTTAATCTTTTAGCTATTTTTTGACTAGTGAATATTGGAAATTTTTATTTCATTCTCAGTATACAAGGAAAAAAATAATATTTTAGAAGCACTACCACCTACCAAACCTTTTGGATTATTATTTTGGCGATTTTCTGTTTTTGAACTTTCTCCTTTGCTAACTATTAAGTAAACAGGAGCATAAAGGTGAAGAATGGGGTGGTTTAAAAAAAATCAAGGTAATTAACTTAAACAATTAGACTAGTTAATGTTAGTTTACTATATCATGCTTCTTCTTTCCTTTCTATTTCTACTTCTTATTAACTCTGCTGTCTGTCTTTCCAGTTCCTGTCAAGTGGTATTGTCAATTGTGTTTTTGTTTATAGTTTTTTTTTTGTTTTATCCTACTATTCTCCACCTAAAACTGATCTACTAATTTGCTGTTTTGAACTCAGCCTTTGTCGGAATTATGGGTAACACAAGATCTTACAAACTACTAGACTGGAATAGTTTCAATTCAGGTATTTTAATGGTCATTCAGTACTACATATGCTGACAAAAATTATGGCAGCTCAGTGAAGTTTTTAGAAGTGTTCTAGATTAAATAGGTTTAATATCAATTCAGTTTCAAAGAAACATTCTGCAATACATATGTAATAACTTGTAATTTCCATGGAAATGCAGATATAAAAATGTGTTAACTAAAATGAATTAATTTCTTTTGTGACTAACTTTCAAATGAGAATTAAATTATATATTTTGGACAATTTTCATATCAGGGAGATTATGCAGGCATTAATTTTATGATTAAGCAAATATTTGTTAAGTAATAACTATATATGACTAATTTGATAAATCTTTTAAAAAGTAGACTTAAACTGCATATTTAGATATGAGTCGAATATACTTAGTGTTTTCTAAAGTTCTAAAAAATGTAATTGTTAGCATTTTTATTTATAATTCTAGAACTGTTCCAAAATTTGGCAATTCAAGAGCAGATTTCTTTGGAGATTAACAGCTTCTATAACCTTTCCTCCTTCTCCTTCCATATGAGAAAATAATTTTTCTTTTTGAGCCATTTAAATATTGATATAGTTTATAGCTTTTCAAGAAATCAAACTAAGAGAACTTTACAGCTGATGATGTGGTTTAGAGTCAGAACCAGTCAATTCTTTTTGAAAAAAGCATATTCTCTCACTAATATAAACATCTAAACTTTATATTACTATCTTAGAATTAAATTTAATTATAGAACTATTTTAATTCTGTATCAAAGCTGATATTTTGCCTAAAGAAAAATTTCAGTTCTTTGGGTCCAAAAGTATATCTTACAGAAAATCAAAAACACCAAAGGGCTCAGTATTTTAGATAATATCCCATAATCTTTTCAATATTATAAACCTTTTGTGTTTGTAGGAGTCCAAGAGATAAACTCTAATGTAAGTAATGCATGTTTGACTCTGAAGCAAGTCATATTCATCATGTAGATTTATCAAAATTCAATCTGCTAAACAATCTGATTAGGTCCAACCTTTACAGTAAGTAGACTGCTGTCAATTGGTAAATCTTTAGGGAAATTACCTCTATTTTCTATTCATGTTTTTACCATCATGCTGTCATTGATTTTAATTGAAATTACCATTTTTAGTGTAGTATTCTATAATTAACTTTTAATGAGAAACTTAGGAATATCTTGTTGGATTTATTTCATAGAAGCTATACATTTTAAAAATATGGTCAGTTTAATACAGTGGGTAGAGAACAAGGTTGTGTTTAAAAAATACATTTAGTGCATTGATCTTTAATAGTTTAAGGAAGGTCAAAGGTGTTCAGGGTGAGATATATGTTGGTCAGATGATAGAACAGTCTTAGAAAGTGGGAAAGGCAAAATTAAATCTTATAGACATGGGGACATTATTTCATGTAAGCAGAATTACAGAGTTTGATAAAGAGAAACATGGTTGAGGAAGGAATATATCTTGCCATCATTTAAAATAATGCCAGGTGAGAAATATATGAAGAAAAATATAGATATATTAATGAATGTTAAAAGAACATACCAGTGATATTTTCAGTTAATTGTTCTCATCTCATTGATGAGGCATTAGGATTTGCCTGTAATAGCTGGTACATCTTCATAAATAAGGTTGGTTTTGATATTAGTTCAGGAAAAAGCACTTGATAATTCTGAAGAAAATATGATGTTTTTGGTAAATATATATTCAAATCACTTATGTATCCTATGTAATTTGGGACTGTTTAGCTGTTGCTATTTTATATTACAATAGAAAATCAAAATTGAACTTGTTAGTAATTGTTAGTATTGTTTTTGTTATTTCTAGAATTGTTCCTTCATACTGAATTTCCAGGATTCTCTGACATCATGTATCATGTGATACATTGTAGCCTTCCAAGAGAAAGGAAAAAGAAATTATATTACATTAAGTATACTTATTAATTATTAGATATTCTCATTTTAGAAACATTAAAATGTAGAAATATATAGGAAAGCATGTTATGCCACACAATACTGTTTCATAAATATGGTAGATATGTCACATAAGCACATATAGTCATGCACTGCATAATAAATTTTTGGCCGTATATGATGGTGGTCCATAAATATATTATTGCCCAATTGATGATGTAGCTTAGTTGTGTAAGTACATGTAGTGATGTTTGTACAATGATAAAAATCCATCAAGGCATTTCTCAAAACATATATATCCCTATTTTTGAGTGACACATGATTATTTTATGCCATATAATTTGCTAGATACTAGAAGGCAAAGGTTGCCAATCCCCCTGCTTTCACAAA